TAAACATTCTAGTTCGCTTAAATAAAATATTTACTCTCGAATCCGTCAACACCAATCGGTTGGACTGGTAGGATCGATAGGATTTTTTAAATAAATTTTGTTATATTTAAAATTATTTTAAATAAAATTATATATTTAAATAAAATAGTGATTTATAACTTATTTATCAATTAGTTTAAACATTTGAATTTATAAATTGTTTAGATATTTAAGTAACACATTTTATTTAAATTTATTACAAAAAATAATATATATATATATATATATTTTAAAATATTTATAAATTAAAATCTGAACAAACTACAAATGATTTAATAAAATAACTTGATCGTTTCGATGACGGTCTAGTTCTGAAAACCTTATATTTATTCTATATTAATAAATAATATAATAAAATATTATTTAATTTACATAAATATTAATAAAACGATATATAAATATTCATAAATCATTAAACATGCTGTCATAAAAGTATTGTTAATACGATTATTTGAAATTTGGACTACATCACATTCACGTAATAAAATATTTTCATATAAAATTTATATTAGGTTCAATAATCGATTTGGTGTGGTCGAACTGATACAGAACTTAGTCACTTGGGACCAACCAAGTTGTGTCAAGTTTTTTAACTATTTTAAATATCACCTAAAAGTAATTCAATCAACCTGGGCAGTACTCTAATTCAATCACCCGATTAATCCGAAGAAAATTTCTTATTTTCTTTAAATATATTTAATTTAATGAAATAAAAATATTTTATAATTCATATAATAAATGTCAACACAAAATGATAATATATTAAGATTATAAATTATATATCTAAAGATGAATTAATTATTTTTACTTTATGCATATTAATAAAAAAATAAACATAGTAATTTTCAATAAATTAAGATTAATTGATTGATTATATGCAATTTAAAGAATATTTTTAGCGTTCAATATTTTTTTAAAGGCACAAATATCTAAAATTTTTGTTATATTTTGAATTGATATTTTATAAATATAAAGATCGAGATTTTAATGTTGTTCGTTGTTTCTAAAAAAAATAATACAAATAAAACATACACACGTAATAAATCTTAGTCGGATATTTAAATAATAAAATGAACTAAAGTTCAAAATTTAAGGTAGCATTTAATGTTGTATGATTTTTTAAGAAAAAAATAAAAAAAATAATAAAACTTACTATTTGTAGACTATATTAAATTCTGACCTATTTTTTTGCTACTATTTTTAGTAAATGATAATTCTTATTATATATATATAGATTCGGCAATAAAATCTCATATATCACTAATAACATGCTTCTCTTGAAGAAGTTATAGTCAAACTCTGGCAGTACAAACGAGATTCATACGAACAGTGACGAAAACTTGTTTAAGTTCTTTGTGCTTCACAAGCTAAAATCATAGTTCCTAACATTCACAGAAGGTGGTATTCCCTTGTTTAGCTCAATCTTTCCCCC